TCCTAAGTGAATCTTCCACAAAAACCAATATGCTTATCACTGTAAGTATATATTTTTATTTTACGTCATTTAAACATGTAGACGTATTACTTTTATTATCATTTTAAAACTGTTTTACGTAAATTTCAAACAAAAACACAAAGGAGAAAAATAAAGAGAAGATTTTGTTGACAGTTAGTGTTTTGGAAAAAATAGCGATATTAAAACACTTAACAGACGTAACAGGATTTAAGGTTGGTTGTTTAAAGATGCGATTTCTCGCACTGTTAACCAGCTGTCAGTGCCAGCATTGGTCGGTGCAGTATCTCCCCATTTTCATTGGCTCTGAGTGATGTCAATCACAGAACACCCAACACAGTTTTAGAGAGTGTCCCTGGAGCAAATGGGTTAATGACACTCCACCACCCATGGGCTTGAAATCAAAGATCTTCTGATCATAGGTAGAGTACACACAGAGCTACATAACCGGGCGGTCACCAGCTTGAATCCCATCCTCGGCAGAGTAGTCACATGTCCGTCAGGCCTTTGAATAAGGCTCTTAGCACCCCCAAAATGTTTGTGGGGCACCAAATAAATGGCTAATCCCGTGATAAGAAGAATGGATATGCAGTGGGGACAAGCATTTCAATGTACCTGTACTTGTGTAAATGGAAAATAAAGCATCATTGCTCTACATTTGCATATGTGAGTGATACTGACTGGTGATTGGCTATGTACTCCCATCCCACCCCAATGATCCCACCCCTTTTCCCGCCTACATGGAAACTGCATGAAGTCATCTCTCCTGGGCAGCAGGTTCTTGGTGACGTGCTGATATCGCACACAGGCAGCGGAATGCAAACTGCCCCGTCAGCCTTTAATCCAAGACTGCATAAAAACGCACGATCCTGCATCTTACTCCCCGCCATCTCAGTAAATCTGCGAGACAGATGCTGAGTCTGGACAATCAGAACATATCAGAGCCGGTGGTGTCGTTTCAGCTGAGGGAGATAAGCTCTCCCCTCACTGGAGCGCGGCGCCATACCTACACTCTTGATTTCCCAAAACGATGGTGGATGTGCTGCAAATTTCCCAGCTCAAGACTTACATCGTCAATATGCAGACCGGCTCGTTTGATATACTTCAGCATTTCTGCGCATTCGCCGTTAATCGCTCTCCTGACCCAAAACAATATGCAGGAGAGCCAAAAGTGTCCAGTGAAAATGCAGCAGAATAAGACACATATAAATTAAATTAATGTAGATGTCATGGGAACAGTGGGTGAACTGGACTGCAAGCGAGAAGCAGCCTCATAAAATAAACAAGGCCGAATATCTGTGCCAAGGCAGGGAGGGAGATAATCACAACAATGGCAAACGCCTTGACAAATTGCACAGCTGCTGTCCTGGCAGCAATAGCTTGGAGAAACTGTGCAGGCCGACCCCCCCGTCTGCGTCCCACGCTGCCATCGGCATTGGCAGGAAGCTGGGGCAGGTCAGTGGCCAGCGGGGACACCTGACCGGCAATGCTGGGGGGGGGGAGGGGGGCATGCCGTCCGAGACAGCTGGCCGAATGTCAGAGATACGCGGTTGGTCTGGCGTGAACCCAGGCTGACACGTGACCACGCTCCGCCTCGAAGATTAAGCCGTAGCTTTAAATAAATGATACTGGGGAGCCACTTTGCTTAAGTGTGAGAGCGGGTAGCCCCCCCCCGTGTGAGGTTGAGATACACAAATGTCAGAGACTGACATTGTCGGGACCGAGGACACACGAGGTTGAATGTGAGCATGAAAGATAAAAAGGAGGGAAAATGGAGAATAGCTTAGTGCTCCCTGATACCTAAGCGACCCCCCCCCCCTCCACCAAGGGACAGGGAATGTAAAAATAATATGCAATTTCCCGCAGTTCATATTCTTCTACACCCTCTGGGTATCATCTTCAAGATGCTCATTATGACTACACAGCTTCCAAAAAGATATGAATATAAATCAATATGAATATGTATCAATAAAACAGGGGTTATATACAGATTTCCACATCAGACTGGCTGATTTTGAGGCACTGTAGTTGGGAATGTAAATTTGCACAGCACAATGTTAATGGCTAATATGTCTCAGTACAGTGAAACGGAGGTACTGCATTGCCTGTGTACAACCCCGTTTCCAAAAAATGTTGAGACGCTGTGTAAAATGTAAATAAAAACAATGTACAATGATTTACAAATAGAACAAAGGCGACATATGAAATATTGAAATTAAGTAACTTTATTGATTTACTCCAAATACATGCTCAATTTGAATTTGATGCCAGCCACAGGTTTTATAAAAGTTGGGACGGGGGCATGTTTACCACTGTGCTGCATCACCTCTCCTTTTAACAACATGCTGGAAATGTGTGGGAACTGAGACCAGTTGCTGCAGTTTTGAAAGTGAAATGTCGTCCCATTATTGCCCGATACAGAATTTCAACTGCTCAACAGTTTGGGGTCTCCTTTGTCATACTTTTTGTTTCATGATGTGCCAAATGTTTTCAACGGGCGACAGGTCTGGACTGCAGGCAGGCCAGTGTACTGTAGCACCCGGACTCTTATACTACGGAGTCATACCATTGTAATACGCACAGAATGCGCTTTGGCATTGTCTTTCTGAAATATACAAGGCCTTCTCTGAAAAAGGTATTGTTGGATGGCAGTATATGTTGCTCCACAACCTGTATAAATAGTTCAGCGTTAATGGTGCCTTCCCAGATATGCAAGCTACCCAGGCCATGGAAACTAATGCACCCCCATACCATCACAGATGCTGGCTTCTGAACTGTCCTCTGATAACAAGCTGAATGGTCCCTCTCCTATTTAGCCTGAAGGATGCAGCATCCATGATTTCCAAAAAGAATTTGAAATTTTTAATTCATCAGACGACCGGACAGTTTTCCCATCTTGGTTTTTGGAAGTGTTCCTGAGCCCATGCAGTGATTTCCATTATACAGTTGTGTTTTTAATGCAGTGCCGCCTGAGGACCCGAAGATTGTGTCTATCTAACATTAGTTTTTGGCCTTGTCTCTTGCCTACAGAGATTTCTTCAGATTCTCTAAATCTTTTAATGATGTTATATACCACAGATGATGAAATCCCCAAATTCTTTGCAATATCACACCATCTTTCACAGAGTGGTGAACCTCTCCCCATCTTCACTGCACAGAGACTCTGGGGGGCTCTTTTTATACCCAGTAATCTTACTGACCTGCTGCCAGTTAACCTAATTAGTTATGAGATATTCAACTCTGTATTCTGTTTTAGCATTACACAACTTTTCCAGTCTTTTGTTGCCCCTGTTACATTTTTGAAACGTGTTGCTGGCATATACAATATTCAGCATATATTTGTCATAAAATAATAACATTTCTCAGTTCGACATTTGATACATCTTTGATATGTGTTCTATTTTCAATTAAATATGGGCTTGTATGATTTGTAAATCATTGTATTCAGTTTCTATTCACATTTTACACAGCGTCCCAACTTTTTTGTAAGGGGGTTGTATGCTCTGAATTTCCCCAAAAATACTTCAGTGAAAATCAGCACTCAGATGACTCATGTGCCACATCCAACCTCTTCCATATATAAATGCTAAGAGGTCATAGGTCTACAGTTTTACTTTCTTATTTATAATTATTTATTATTTTATCAAATAATATATTTCTTATATTGATTTGGTAAAGGCTCTGCAAGAAACATGGAACTGAGGATTTCATTGTACTCTGGACACATGGCAATGAAAAAAATCCTTGAACCTTTTAAGGGACGTCGATGGAGTTCAGCCCATCAGGATGCTACGATGGTATTGGGAGGATCTTCACTGACCTTCTCTCAGGTATTATTGTTCAGGTCCAACTAACAAACATTGCTTATGGTTCCGTGCATCAAGCTGGTCCACAAGTCTTTGGGGAACCATTTGGTTAGTTTTCACGTCGCTACAGAAGATGGTCTTAGGTGTTTTTTGTAATCAAACAAAGTTGGCATCTGACAGAAAGGGGGAAAATTGAACTATATATATTTATAAGTATAGCAGGTACACTAGCTCTGTAAATGCCCGACTCCTTAAGGTGACATGAGAGCAACAGCAATATCGGGTCTCCTGTTTTGCAGTGAGTAGACCAACGACATTTTTCCCCTGAAACATTTCCCGTCTCCCTTTCCTGAGGCTTCATGAATTGGTCACGCCTGTAACTACAACTCATCTGGTTAGTGCTGATACAATAATCTGCCAGCAGCCCAGGGTGTGTATCTACCCAGCCCCACGTCTGCAGGAGTCTGGGAGGGCACTTGACACATACCTTGCCTACTTACCGACATATTCCGAGTTCAAAGTCTCAAAGGGAAGAAGCCAGACCTCCTTTCTGCAAAAAAGTTCTCAGTGTCTCACTAAACCTGTCTGCTTCACCAAAAGAAAAAAGGTCCTTCTCCTTGGACTTCCTTACCCTAAATATAGCAGTCCTTCCCAGAGCAGACAGATATGTTCTTACTCACAATTAAAGGGGCTGTAGACAGATAAAAGGCAAATCAGGGCAGAGGGAGTTAATTAGCCTGTGCAGAAATAGACAGACAGTAGGGAAAGTGTGATACATGTGAAATTACCCCCATCCATCAAAAATATAAAATAAAACCTGAAAACCCTCATCTCACCAGAGAGAGATACCCCGTAGGAAGGCCACAATGCACATTTACTTACATCATTTCAATAAAAATATTTCTTTAATCGCTTCCGTAATTCAGTTCCCAGTGTTTCTGTTTCGCGTGAAAGCAAAGTCTTCTTTTGAGTGTAACATGGAGCCAAGAGACACGACAAGCGTACTTTTCACTCTCTCTCTACTGCCACGGGGTAAAGTTTATCGCTGCTAGAACTCCGCAACAAACAGACGCGTGTGCCGTGTGGGCATTGCTTGCAGTAACAAAATTACTTCTTTCTCAGTTGTCTCTTGCAAAAACGACACAATTAAAAAAATAAAAAAAAAACATCAAATTATCAATTTATCATCATCATTTATTGTGATAAAGAGGATTAAGACATTGTAACCATAAACAATTTCTCAGTATTTCATACAAACAATTATTAACGGTAAATATTAATTACAGTGAGTAAAGTAAAATCGTTTGAGGTTACACATCGAGCAGATAGTTTTCTTCCTGAGGCATCGGCAATAAACCCTGAACACTCGTGCATATGTCACCTGTGTCAGATTGTGATGCTTTTCCAAACTAAACGGGCATCAAATCTCATACACAAACACATGCAACTCAGTGTAACTTTGTTACTTTTCCATCACACATGCACAAATACCAGTGAAATTCGGCAAATAGTCAACAGCAAACTGAAAATCCCACTAAAGTGGATGGTTTAGATCCTTAAAACCAACTCCTTTGCAAAATAACATTCTTAAAAAGTGTGACAAAAATCAGATCAGTTATCTTAAGTTTGGGATTTTTCTACTAAACATAAGCAATGCTATTTAGTGTAACAAAGCATTTAAAATACAGTAATTTTATGTTTGTAAAAGGTAACTTTAAAAACCAGTCTCTTCACAAAATATCACAGCAACAAAACAAAGTAATTACAATAATACTGTAATAAAAACAAACAGCACTCACATAAATATAAAACGGTAGCACTAAAGATGAAAATATCAATTTTGTCACCTCGTCAGCATTTATCCATTTTTCAGGAAATATTCACCCAACATACAAACATCACCAGCAAATCCTGACACTTCCACAACTCCACAGAAGCAAAGCATGCTGGGAAAAAGGTCAAAAGGTCACAGCAAGCTGTGTTTTCAACCAGGCACGAAGACGAGGAACAAATCAGCATCAAAGTCTGATTGTTTGGTTTATAATCCTGATAGGCCAGGTGTCAGTCTTTATCAATGTGAGCCCCCCCCCTAACACTGCCATCTATAAACAAATTCTGGATTTTGGGGAAGGTGTGGTTAAAACCTTTATTTCCAGACCCCATAAAAAACCAACCACTTTGCATAAATTCTTCAAATACTTCAAACTCTTTTCAAAATTTGTTTAGATTGCTACATAATCTTAATATTCAGTATGAATTCCTTTAGCTACTGTATATAAAACCTTTCTTTGTTCTGACATGACCTTATTATGTATTATTAAAAAAATTGTTTATTCTAACCAAACAAAAACATAACATATAATGTTGCATAAAAACCAACATATTGTTTGGAAATAAAATCACCTAATCATAGTTTTATCGTCAACTTACTGAGAAAATCCCGGGGAACAGCTATATTAAACTTAAGACATTTTACAATTTACAATTCAAATAATTCCATCCAACCACCTTCTGTAACTGTGTATCCAGTACAGGGTCGCAATGATGTTGATTATTATGAAAAAGTAGCATCAGTGATTAATCTTTGTAAGACAACTGTATGCAGCTTAATCCCTGAATTACTATACAAACTCAAATTTTGAAAAGAAAGATGCAGAAACCTGTGCATTTAACTAATTTAGACCCTTGGAAATCTAATAAGGTTTTGGTATTCTAGCTTTTTGTAAATCAAAGATCATTCAATTGCCGAGTGACCAGCCTTAGAGTGGAAATGAAAGTAGAACTTTTAATGAAAATATGGAAAGGCTATGAAGATTTGCTTCCTTTGATATGTTAATATACCAGAGAGGTGGATTTCAGCAAGAAATTATACATGTTTTTAAATTTGGAAGGAGGAGAAACAGGAAATGGGAGAGAAACAGGAAGTTGTACAAGTTTAAGAGACGGAATCAGAAGCCGAGCAGCACCTGTGGCACGGAGATAGATGGGCAAAGGGCACGACGTCAGTAAAAGGGGATCCAGCTGAGTGTGCCAATCGAAATGAGAGTCTGGCAGGTGCTGGAGGAGAGCCACACCATCTCCACCAGGCTGTAGTGCAGGAAGCCCAGGGCGAAGCCGCAGGCCATGTCCGTCAGGTGGTGGCGGCCGAGGAGGACGCGGGAGACGCCCACCAGGAAGGCCCACAGCACCAGCAGGATGCGCAGGGGCACAGCCAGCACCAGGTGCGAGAGCAGGAACTTGGCCACCATGGCGGCTCGACTGGCATGGGCCGCCGGGAAGGAGTACACGTCCATGGCGACGTAGTCTAGGAAACCGGGGTGTATTTCCCATGGTCCTTTGCGCTTGACCAGCTTCTGTACCCCGGCCACTGTCATCACATCCAGTATGAGAGCTGCAGAGACAGGAAGCGGAGGGTATTATCAGATCCGCAGAAGTATAGCCAGCACAAGATACAACCTACTATTCCCGCAGTCAAAGATCTGGCAGCTCACAAAGTAGTTTCAAGAGTTTTTCACAACCGTCGGCTTATTCTGCAAATAATCAAGATGCCCGGTATCAAGCAGGCTAACATAAAGAGATTCCATCGTAATAAATCTACTAAGTACCAGCAGATTTTAAACAGGACCCGCCCCCAAAGAACAGAAAAGCATTCCCTACCAATCAAAAGTTTTTGCACACCACAGGTTTATACTACTTTACTGTTTATTTCCTGTTTATTTCGTACACTGCTGATTTTTTATTTGTCAAACATTGGAAAGGTGAGTGAACAACTATAATAAAGTCAAACAAAACAGGTTTCCTTTATAACATGGAAAGAGTATGTAACAGTGTATGTCTGACATCCTGTTAACTGGTTGTGTGGTGATGGCAGAGTCAAATTTCTAGGCTGTCCTTTAACTTTATGTGCACAAGTTAACTGCTTCACCCCATGAAACAGAGCAGGATTTAATTTCCCTTGCAGAAAGAATGCCTTGAATTTGCTCAGCTGTTATACCTGCTAGAGGAGGTTACTTTGATGAATCAAAGATATGACATTTTCTTGCTAATAAAGATACTCAAATGGTGAACACACTGTAATTTTATTTGTTACCAAAGAATAAAAGTTAAGTGAGTAACAATCTCAGTGTGTGCAAAAACTTTTGGCTTTTAACTTTTTGCTAGTGCATGCAATTAACTAAATGAGCTTGGCTGAATTCCAATTATTCAGATTCCATCATTACAGCATTACATACAAAAGCTTTTTCAAGACAGCGACAATGACGTACCTATACTCTCCAACATCAGGTGATTTTAACATATTAAATGAGAATTTTGAGTTGTTCCCCATCACAGCTGCGAGTCAATGGATAACCATATCCTGATCATTGTGCTTCAACATATCCCCAATACTTCCATCTCCAAAACACTGTGGCTCCACTAGTCATGCTCAAATTATTAATACACTTTTATTTTTTTTCTGCAAGTAGCATCACAATGAAGGCGCTCAAACAACTTAAACCAGCCACTGTTATGAGAGCAGAATTGTCTTCATCAGCATGTCTTGTCTGAGCTGGACCTTCTCCACAGCTCTGCGGCAGGATCAGTATTTATGACCATCCGCTTGGCCCCCATGGACCAGTCCAGCAGCTGAATACCTCAAAATAGGCCTTAAATCTGGCACTGCAATATAAGCCAAGAAGGGTCTCAGTTTTAGATCACTTCATGTTTCCACAGTATCACATCCAGTGCATTAACATAAAAGAAAGAATAAAATGGACCAAAGACCCTTGTGGGAGTTTTACTTACACACAAATATTGCAGAAGGAGAAATGATTAGTTCAGAGAGATAACCAATCACATTGTAGAGGAGGTTGGCCCGAGCAACTAGAGGGGGCGGCCCATCAGATGTCTTGGTTCGGCCTCCTCTAGTTGCTTGGACCCACCACTTCTACAAGCTAATTGGTTATCTCTCTGAGCCAATCACTTTTCGTTCTGCTCTCAGAACATTTCTGTGTAAGTAAAACTCCCACAAGCACCAAAGACCAGACCCCAAGACCAAGAAAACTCACACTGTAAATGCTCCAAAAAATATTGGATTTGTAGAGGGGGGTGGAAGAAAAACAAAATTTTGGGTTAAGTGAAGACTTTTATCAAACCAAACAACAGGACGGAAACACTGTTTTTCCAATGAAAAAAACAGGTTATTCTGTAAAGAGAACATAGTGGAGAGGTCGTATTTTGCTGTGTTTTTTCAGACCAGCACCTGGCCCCCACTTGCAGATGTGCAAATAAATCTTTACTTTGACTTAATGTCAATGAAAACGCCCAGAAAAAAAGAATGAGCTGATAAAATATACCATCAAGAATATGCCAACTCAGTAACTCGAGCAATGTCACGATTTGCGACTTCAGAAAAGCGGAGAGAGAAATTAAGATTAACGTGAGCAGGGGCCAAAATGCAAACGCTCGCAAGCCTCAGCTGACCCCAGAAACCTGCCATCCTGTATTTTCGCTGACTCGATTGTCCTGTTTTTCCAGACACCTCTGGAGACTGTCAACTCCCATACGCAGGTCCCGTCAAGTTCACTGCAGTCCCCCTCCGTCACCTGACACACGTAAATCAATCATACTGTCATCTCCTCTCTCGGTCCACAATTAGTTTTCCTCATTAACAAAGAATTGCGAGATCAATATAGAGCATGGGTTTTATTCCAGAAGCATTCTTGCATCCTCCTTGACCCCAGAACCTTTTATTCCAGTATTATTTAGATTTTCACCTCAGGTGAGACCAGCCTTGCACTTTTAATGCACAACAACCTCCAACCGTCCATCCATTTTCTGTAACTGCTCATGCTATTTAGGGTCACGGGGGGGTCCAGAGCCTATCCCAGAGGTTACGGGCGCAAGGCAGGGGAACAACTCAGGACGGGGCGCCAACCCATCACAGGGCAAGCAACAACTTTCACAAACATAATGTCAGTTGTACAAACTATATAAGGGAGCAAATTAGATTGGTGAACCAAATAAGAATCAGAAACAGAAATAACAATATTTGGCACCAATAATAAAATGCTAGTCCACAAAGCCTTAGATCCCAAAACCTCAAAGTCACTCTGAGAATAGCTTTCTCAAAGCCTTAAAGAATAACCTAGTCAGTGTTGAGAAAACTGATTCACACCGGAATTCACATACATGCCTACAGAAACTATGTCAATATCACTTTCCAATGTAAGACAGATTCAAAAAAAAAAAATTCACTGATTTTCTAAAACATTCTATTTCCAAAGTTCCCATGGCAAAAGATCCACAAAATCCAAGTAGTCCGGCACTTCACTTTCAAACAAACGGGGCCTTGCAACAGGGATCAGATGAGGATAAGGTAACTGAAAAGTCTGTAGATGTTGCTTCACAGATGAAACTGTGACCACATCCTGGGCATGAGGATGAGGAGTCACAGACTTCAAATCCAAGAAGAACTTCACACAAGTGAGGTACGAGCACAATACAACCAACAACCATTCCTCATCTAGCGACCAAGTTCCATTTCAGCAATTAGGTCATTAAGCAAAATGGTCGCTAAGTGAAAATCACGTAGCCTAGGCGTGACCGCAACTACGCTTAGGACTTAACTTCAGCCTTCCATGCTGTTTCTTTTATGCTTCATAAATTAGACATTTTCAACAACATTTTGTACATTCTACTTCAAAGATCTTGCTCACTCCAGCTGTCAGGTGTGTGAAATTTGGTGATAAATGCGCGCATTTGTGAATTTTTTTTTATTACCGTCGAATTTGCGGATGGCTACTAACGGAAAGAAGTCGCTGAACGGGAAGCGGCTGTGCTTTTCACTATACAAAACACAGAGAGCAGCACTATGATAACACAGCAAACTTAGACCAGACGAGGCTAATTATAGGAGGTTTGCCAGAACACAGCCTCGGGAAGCCTTAGGCTGTGAGTGGGTTTGGGGGGGGGGGGATGGACGGGGGAGGGGAGCCCATAAAATCCATACACTGATAACCCTTGAAAAGAAGAAAATCATCACAACCTCTAAAACAAAACAGCAATGCAGTAACATTCACTTTATTCCTATGTCCAGTGGTTTTCTCTGGATGCAAAACCCTGGGGAAAGGTATTAATGTTCTGTATCTTCTTGCAAAACAGAGATAGCCATAAAAATATGATGACAAGTGGAAACAGGTTAATGGAAGTGCTGTGGCAGTAATAATCGCGGTGATATTTGCTACACTTTTTAACTGTCTCTCATAATCCAGTGGGATGAGATTCTGTTATGCTATACTGATCATGGGCAGACAATTGAAGCAGAAGTCTACTGCAGCCCTAATGGTTGTGCATAAGAATCCTCGACAGACGTTCAGAGAATTGGATCGATGAGGGTGGGGTTGTGACAGTTAGGATACTGGGGGGTGACACGGACAGGGGACTCCGGCAGAAGAGCCAGGATCTGTGTGGACAGGTGCCAGAACAAGAGACGGATTGGAACCCGTGAAGCTGTACGAGGCTCTTAAAAATTGGAGAAAGCAATCAACTCTCTAGCTCAGCTTGGCACTGTTCAAAATTCTTCTTGGGGCCGGGCACGGCTCAAGGTGACACGATCATGGCTGCACGGGGGGGGGGGGCAGGGCTGCTCAAACGCACGGCTTCCTGTAATATTCCTCCCTAACATCCTACATAGACCACACCCCTGGGGAGCACCAGAACTCCAAACAAGGCCACAGTCACACGGCCCATGTTACAGGAAGAGGCGTCTTCAAGAGTCAAAGGAGGGAAAAAGGTAAGATTAATAGAAAGAGGTGTTATGGCAGAGGACAGAAGAACTGCAGCAAACAGAAAAACCATCGGACTGCTGGGTAGGGGTTCTGCACACCGCACTCTGCCCTGACTTCAGCTCCGTCTAATAAGAAAGTTCTAGATGCAGCCTCCATTGAAGCACTTTCTTTACAGAACACATTTAGTATTAGTAGAAAAGGAACCGGGAGGTGTATTCAAATAGCAGGCAAATATCACAGGATCTAGGACTAATCACAAATAAACACCCCCGTCCCCAGCTTAACAAGCATCCATCTCAACTATTAAGTCTTCCAGGTCCTTGTGGTGCCAAAGGCAGTGAAAAGAGCCACCTACCCCCAATGCACCAATGGACACTCACTTGGTGGAGCATGTGCCGTTCACCTGGGTCTTTACGGCATAATTATTCCTGCTGCACCCGTCCCTGAGGGGCTCAGTGCGCGCAGTTAATGCCCAATGAGGACCCACAAAACAGTCTGTCAAAGTACTATTCCGTCACTCCCATAAGCAAGACAAAGTGACTACTAGAATGACCTGTTTCCTCCCTACATAAAAGCAAATGTACACAGCAGAGAAAAAGAAATGGATTTACAGGGACGCTTC